TAAAGTAAAAAATAAATAAGGCCAGGTGCTAAGGTCAATGTGAATGCACCGAGAATATATGAATACAGCGGTATTTTTGAGCCCCGCTATTAACGGCTGTTCGCTCCATTGGCTTCACTACCGCATTCGGTTCTGTGCACAGAGTCCTTGTGGTGGAGTCTAGCGGACCTCGGTGTCGGAGGAGTGACAGTGTTCTTCTGAATAACTTGTCCTATTATACGTAAAATCTGTGATTCACCTGGTCAGCTCTGCTACACACTTGTTTATACACTTAGCCCCTCGGTCTGAGATAATTAATTCGTGGGATCTCCAACGCAATGAGAAAGGAAGAGTAAAATATAAGAAGGCAGCCATGTGGTATAAGCAACGGCTTTTTGACGCAAGATATAACATACAGTGCTTTAGATTAGGTTTCATTTTTATTATAAGGAAGTTGCTTTTGCCCGATTTTATTAATCTTTCAGTAAGGTAGCAGATGGACGACAATTAACGAAACGAATTTGCACCTTTTTTTTTAGCAAACTTGGTTGGATTTACAGTAAAAATAGTAAAATTGTAAAATGTAATCATGACTCGATAGCTGCGGTTCAAAATGTTGTAGAAAAACGCAACGAGAAATAAGCTGCAAAAACGTTTGACAAAACAAAGTGCGTAAAAATACCTCGTTGGGATTTGATGGAGAATCAACAAAAATACGAGGATATATAGCAGCATCTTCTTCGGTGAGGAGAACACACGGACTCTGTAGTCTTTTAACCTGGTGAATCATCATGTAACAACGCTTCCTATCCAAGTCGTTTGCAATGACAAAGCCCGATGGCTCGGCATATGTATCGCCATCGCCATTTTTCTTCTCTGCATCTGCATGTAGTAATTCTACGAGCTGGGCAGACTTTGAGCCGGGAGCTGCGCAAAGATCCAAAACAGCGTGGTGTTCTTTTACATCAAGTGCGAGAGGAGGCAACATGCTGACTGCTTCTTGTCTACTGATGTTACCTGAAAATGTAAAAAAATAATAATATGTAATTCGACTTGAAATGAAAGAAATTAGTAGAAAATAAAAGTAGTCTCAGAAATTGTAGAGCAGAACGTGCAATTTAAATTTAAAATGAGATTATGGAATATTGTTAAATGACCACTCAATTCACAGGCGTGTCTGGTTAGGCCCATGCATTGCAATGAAGCCCATTATACACAGCTGTGACATTTGCTCGTCAAGTAATCAGAGCTGTCGGGACAACTTACAGAACGAGTCACTACATACATACAACCCTGACCACAGTCGCTAAGCGTGCATACGAGGTACAATGTAATAGAGAGATTATCACGACAAATATATGAGGGTGACAAAAGCAGCTGGTGGAAAATAAACACATACTGTTATAGCACAACAACTGCTCGACATTTCGGTAGTGAAGGCTGTTGTCTATTTTCGGGAAAATGCACGGAAAACGGCCATCGCTGAAGAGCTACTCAAACCGACTTTGCTATGTGGCACGGAACCTTTCTAGTTGATCTCAAGAAAGATTATGCCGTCAGTCTACCCGTGCAGAAAACAGTAGCGTGGATATGTTAATAGATAACCGAGTCAGCACAGATATTGATGGAACGCCCCCTAACTGCCAAAATTAACAGCCGTTTCTCACTTTTCATCCGCGCAAAAGCGACCTTCTTTTTGCCGAGGTTCGGATGCGAACACGTTCAGAAAAGCAGAACACTAGACAGTTTTTCTGATGAGGGACAATAAGATAGGAACATGCATTATAAGTATTTGTGTTTTTTAGAAGACAATGTAAAAGCGGTGGAAAAGCAACAAAAAACAAAAAATACCTGATTCTGATTCCGATACGAGGAAACTCTGTAGGGCTTTCAGTTCATCTAGTTTCCGAACGGTTGCTCGACTGGCGTCAATCTGCCAAGCCATTTCATCTGGATACCAGGCCAAGGACTTTATAGAAAAATCCGCGGTGGTTGAGTCGGCTTTATCGATAAGAGTATGAAGATAATTCTCCTGTAGAAGGGAAAGTAGTTCCCTACTCTGTTTACGGAAACCAGTAATTCGAAATGTCACGGGAAGATCCTGCTTAAGAGACGCGATAAACGCCTGGAAATCGGAGTCATCCAGACCAAGCTGGTTTTTATAATACTCCTCAAATAATCCATTGGATCTGTCAATTGTTCTGAGAGTGTTTAACCCAAATCTAGGTACGCGACGTTTTCCCATGTCAAAAACACCAGGCTGTTTAGCCTACGCACCAAATAACGTTAGAAACAGGTGAGAAACCAACCTTGGATGAAAGCAGCCATCTATTCAATTCGCTTAAGTTCAAGTTATGAAGGGAAAGTAGTTGCGTAACTTTTGCGTATCTTCTTCACGTTATGAATTGTTGGGGTGTGGCAGAAGAATTAAGTATATCACAAAGGACTAATTAAGGACCATAAAATAAACATACGCAGTGTGCGGAACAAAGTTGTACTCTCACTAGAAAGGGTTGGTGTTAGGCTAATGTATTTCATGTTCATTTTTGAAGCTTTATAGAGCATCGTAAATTCCTCCCAGGTGTATTGTTTTCTCTGCCCACGCTAAC